TCCCTGCACAGCAGCTCCACCAATTTCCAGCCCCCCTCCTTACCCCCCGCCCCTGGACACAGGAGCCCAGTCCACACACACGCCTTCCTCAGATACACACGTGTGGGGCCCCACTCCTTGGAGAGCAAGCTCCCAGATACATTTCTCAGGATCTAGGAGTCAGAGAGACACCCTGCCTCCAGGCCCTCCTCCCTCAGACCCGGGAGTCCAGGCCCCCAGCCCCTCCTCCCTCTGACCCCAGGAGTCCAGGCCCCCAGCCTCTCCTCCCTCAGACCCAGGGGTCCAGGCCCCCAGCCCCTCCTCCCTCAGACCCAGGAGTTGGGGCCCTTCAGTTTCTCAGACCCAGGCCCTCAAGCTCCTCTGTTAGAAACTCGGTCCCCAGTTTCTCTTCCCTGATGTGAAAATCCAGCCCCCTCTTTCCTGAGGCCAAACCCACCTCAGGCCAAGCATCCATTCAGATTTTTGTTTTTTTAAAACATATTTTTATTGATTTCAGAGAGGAATGGAGAGGAAGGGAGGGAGGGAGGGAGGGATAGAAACATCAATGATAAGAGAATCATTGATCGGCTGCCTCCTGCACGCCCCCCCACTAGGGATCGAGCCTGCAACCTGGGCATGTGCCCTTGACCAGAATCGAACCTGGGACCCTTCAGTCCGAAGGCCGACGCTCTATCCACTGAGGCTAGGGCCACTCAGGTTTTTACACACATGTTTTGTTGATTTTAGAGAGAAAGGAAGGGAGAGGGAGAGAGAGAGAAACATCAATCAACTGCCTCCTGCACGCCCCCCTATTGGGGATGCAGCCCAAAACTTGGACCTGCGTCCTGATGGGAATTGAACTGGTGACCTTTTGGTGCATGGCACCACGCTCAACCACCTGAGCCACACCAGCCAGGGCCACCCACAATTTTTTTATTTTTATTTTTTACAGTGGGCTTCTGTGAGGACCCAGTTGTGACATTTATGCAGACACCCTGACATGACAGCTGAATGCTCTGGAACAAAGCCGCCTTCCCAGGCTGTGAATGGGCCCTGAGCCCCTGGCCCCCAGCACCTTGCTCTCCTGTGCCCTCCAGTGCCCTGCAGCAGGAGGGAGAGGGGTAGATCGCCATCCCTGGGGCAGTGTAGGGGGGGATGAGGGAGGAGAGGGCAGGAAAACCGCTGTGGGTTCAAAGGGACACACCCAGGTTCTCTGCCTGCCTCTTCACGTGTCCACACACCCTCCCGTGTCCACACACCCTCCCGTGTGGGGCTCCCGGCTTGCACATGCCGCCACACGGACACTCATTGTGTTATTGGTGGCCGTGGAGTTCTTGCCATGTCTCAAGGAAAAGAGTTTCCCGAGACCGGCACAGGAGGAGAGCGATGTTTATGGGTGTGGAAAGAAACCCCTGCTTTCCCCATGTCCCGTTTCCCTCCA